ATGATGACAATAATGATGAATGATGATGATGGCAATGATGACGATAATGAGGCAAAGATGATGGTTCCAGCAGCATCAAAAAAACTATGAGGACGATGATGGTGAGATGATGAAATGGTGATAATGACGATGATGACAAGGATGATGATGATATGTAAATGTTGCCTACTTGATGGGATAGAATGTTGTTTAGTAGTTGGCAGGTCAGCCTATCCACTTGTCGTTTGTAACGTTTGCTCTGGTTTAATAATTCAGACATTAAATGTTGCTCATGTTGTTGTTGTTGTTGTTCATTTTGTTGAGAATAGAGTTGTTGTTGATGTTGTTCATCAGCTGTCGCTACTAACGATGATAGTGTTGGCGAGGTGGATGTAGAAAGTGATGATGGTAGTGTCGTTGTTGTTGTTGATGTTGGTGGTGTTGTTGATGTTATTGTTATTATTGTTGATGTTGGTGGTGTTGTTGATGTTGTTGCAAACATTGTCAAAAAAACGTGTGACAACAACAATCATGCAATAATGGTCCTATCCTACATGATTTGTTGTTGTTCGCATTTTAAAAAATGTTGTTCAACTTGTCGTGCACAATTCTAATGTTCTTCTCGACTAATTTTTTCATTTTTTTTGAAGAAATCTGAAAACATCAGGAATTTAAATGAGCCAATGTAACAACATAGAAACAACCACATACAAACAACAACAACCACATGCAAACAACAACGACCACGTACAAACATCAACTACAAACAAACAACAACAGCAACCATATAAAAACAACAACATGCGTGCAGAACAAAACAGCAACAACGCCACAACAACGCCACAACAACCACGCACCAACAAAACAGAAAACAGCATTACAATTTAAGAGTGGTCACGTGATATTCACGTCACCAATGACGTCAGCAAAAATATTTGAAAGTTAAGCAGACGTTACGAAAGAAATTTCACTGCTGAAGAGGATGAGAAAGAAGTGACGCTGATGACGAATAAGATGGCGATGATGAAGACAATGGTGGTGGTGATGATGACGACAATTGGGATAACAACCCCAATGACATTGATAATGATTATTAAGATGACAAGATTATAACGATACCAACAATAATGTAGATGATAGATGATCGTGATCACTGATCACGTGATGCAAAGGTATAAATTTTTGTCTCATACATAACCACAATAACGTCATAATTCTCTACCAATAAATCGGGCGATAAAAGGCAGAAAACAGAGCGCTATTTGTTCATATCGCCCGAGTAAGCCACGACCTTGACAATAAAATTTTGGAAGCACGGAGAAATAATAAAGCGCTACAGCTTTAATATCGGATGGTACGTTTGAATAAGTGCCTAACCTACCTCTCTATATTATTTATCTGTGCAACGAATTTTTGACCGATGATGGTGATGAGGATGATGGTGATGAGGATGATGGTGATGAGGATGGTGGTGGTGATGATGGCAGTGAAGAAGATGTTTGCGATAATGTTGAAGATGTTGCTGATGATGATGACGGTGATGAAAAAAATTGTTATTATTATAAAATAATATTTTTGCACAATTATATTTATAATAACGATAATGAGTATGGTATACAAATGATGAATGCGAAGTTGTTCATATTAATGATGATGATAATGATGATGATGGTGATGATAGTGATGATGATGATGAGGAAGATAGAAAGAGGATGAAGAGGAAGAGGATCGTGATGATCGCGATGGTGATGATGATGGTGGTGGTTGTGATGATGATGACGATGATGATGGTGATGATATTGTTAGGTGTTCTAATTATGATACAATAATGAAAAGTAAAAATTCAATAATGACAACGATGATGGTGGTGGTTACTAGTGACGTGATGATGATGATGATGATGATGATGATGATGATGATGATGATGATGATGATGATGATGGTGGTGGTGGTGGTAAGACTATCCGTATCATCATCGTCATCATCTCCTCAACATCATCCTCATCGTTTTTTATCAACGCAACAAGAGGCTGACAACCCAGCAGCCAATCAACAATCGACCCCATTAAAAAATAATTACACACGTCACTGAGTTTTTAACTCTCATTGGCTGTCCAAGTGATTGACAGCCACCATGCTGGTGTTTCTATAGTAAAGTTTCTATGGTGGTGATTCTTTGGTGATGATTCTATGGTGTTTTTCTATGGTGGTAGTTCTATGGTGGTGGTTTTATGTTGGTGGTCCTATGGTGTTGGTTCTTTGGTGGTGTTTCTATGGTAATGTTTTATCCTTAGTGATATGAATCTGATTGATGATGATGATTTTAATGTGATCGGTAATGGCACCTGCTATATATAAATATATATATATACATATATATATATATATATATATATATATATATATATATATAATTAAATTTACAAGCAGCAATCACACAAGGAATTTGTTGTAGGCAAACAAGCAAACAAACTCGAACAAACGAACGGAAGAACGGGAGACAGCGTGTTGTACGATCATAATTGATCAGACAAGATCCATAAAGTGAATGTGCTCGTGTGAACTTGTGTGTGCAGTTAAAACATGTATATATATATATATTTATTGTATATATATATATATATATATATATATATATATATATTTATTGAAAGGATTTATATATATGTGTGTGTGTGTGTGTTGTGTGTGTGTGTGTGTGTGTGGTGTGTGCGTGTGTTTGTATCATGTTTATACTGAATATAGACACGAGTTAACTTACACTTAGATAATACACACAAACACACACACAAACACACTCACAGAACACTCTTTTACACGTCCATTTGTTTGTTCTCAGAACATTTATAACCTATCCAACTCGTCAATGTTTTTTGATTTCGTACAGTAGGCAGACGACTCAAATATTTTCCGGAGCGCGCGCAGAATTGAGTCTCTTACTTATCGAAGACGTCTGTAACGAACTTGAAAATGTTTTAAATTGGTTCATAGTCAATAAACTAACAACAAACAAAACTAAAACTTAGTTGATGGTATTCGGTCCTGTCCAATACCTAAACTATAAGGAACCTAACCTGCAATGTTATATCTTTGTACAAATTTAAAAAGATCTTGAAATCATTCATAAAAGTATCTAGTTTGTTCTAATATTTTTGAAATTATCAAGCTTTTCTTTTTCAAATAGGCACAGTAATTTTGTGTATGAGTTAAATAAACCTAATAATCAACTAAAATTCATCGTAAGAAAATTTGAAAAATTAACTAAAAATTTAAGCTACGCTAAAAATGCTGTGACTTTCCTAAACAACTGTATATCTGAGCCAAATTTGTGTCAGGTACAAACAGTAAACCTGAATTGTCAGAGCCCAATGTTTGATTCAGCAGTGGCATTGTTCTAGGAATGACTCTGTCGGTTAAATATTTAGGGGCAACTCTCTTTATACATTTAAAAACCGTTGAAAATATCTTGAAAATAACTCTTTGATAAACCGAAAGCTAGTAAAGAGCATAAAGAATTAGCTTAACGTGATCGTATTTAAGGCCACCTGAAACCAACCTTGCAGCCTAATTTTGAACCGACTGCAGTATAGACCTATTTATACCTGACAGGCCGTAATATAGACTATTGCAATAGTTTATTTTTGAGTGGATAAAGGAATGAACAAGACATTAAAGAGTTTGTTTGTTTAAAGATCCTTTGATGCGCCTGATGTCCAGAGCATTCTTTCGAAACTGCCCTGGTATGAATGTTAAGAGACATGTTATTATCAAAAACAAATCCCAAGTTGTATATATAATATATATATTTATATACATATATAGCTATTGATTTGATGTAAATATATATATATATATATATATATATATATATATATATACAATCTGTATGAATGGAAATGTCTATAAAACCTTGGACTATTTTTTTATGTTTGTGATGTATCGATTGTATCAACAACTGTGGTTTGTGCATGTATGCACTTAAATGTATACTTATTTACATAAATGCAAACATAAATACAAACATACGAACACGTACGGCCCCTTATTCACACATGCATACACATTCACGCATGCATACACATTCACACATGCATACAAATTCACACATGCATACAAATTCACACATGCACACACATTCACACATGCATACACATTCACACATGCATACACATTCACACATGCATACACATTCACACATGCATACACATTCACACATGCATACACATTCACACATGCATACACATTCACACATGCATACCAATTCACGCATGCATACACATTCACACATGCGTACACATTCACACATGCATACAAATTCATACGTGCATACAAATAATAGATAATCTAACATTGATACACGCAAATTTGGGCAGACATACGCACGCACGTACATAACGGTCAGTTGGTACGAACTGCACAGTGTGCACATAAATGATGACACAAAATAAGATTAAACACGTTTAAATGTATGCCTAAACATGAAAAAGACAATCAAATGTTTGCTGATCGATTGAATGGTGTTGGTTTGAATGTGCTAGTGTCTTCGATCAACTAACTCTATTTGCTTGCCTCTTCTTGCTTGTGCATTAACATGTATGTGTGTGTGCGTGCGTGTGTGTGTGTGTGTGTCTGTTCGTATGTTTGTATGTCTATCGTTCGTTCGTTCGTTCGTTCGTTCGTTCGTTCGTACTTATGCAAATATTTATGTGTGTGCTTATATGTGCGTGTATGTAGTAGGCGCACTCCTGTGACTATGTGATCATTAAGTCACATTCTCAAAAACTTATTAAAGAAGGCTTCGACAAGGAAACACTCATTTATGAGGAGAAGAACTTAACAGTCCCACAAACACTTTTGTTCACGTTACAGTTGAAACACGTGCAGTGCAACATGCTTCAACACATGCACATCTCTTCAACACAATGCACATCTCTTCAACACAATGCACATATCTTCAACCCATGTACATCTCTTCAACACAATGCACATTTCTTTAACACAATGCACATCTCTTCAACACAATGCACATCTCTTCAACACAATGCACATCTCTTCAACACAATGCACATCTCTTCAACACAATGCACATCTCTTCAACACAATGCACATCTCTTCAACATAATGCACATCTCTTCAACATAATGCGCATCTCTTATCAAGTGCAAAACTTCCGGAGCGTGAAACTCCAACCTGATTAAATTCACTTAACTTGTAACTCTTCAGTGCACTCCAAGTTTTATTGCTGACCTCTGACCTGTTGAAGAGCATTAAACCACTGAAGACAAACATCCTGCAGCTCACGTTAGCCCACAGGTCTGCCGAACGCATTAACACAATTCTTAATTTATTCACAAACATCACTCAAAATAATTTTTTATATTTGATGAATTGCTTCAATATTTAATCTTTTTCAAACATTAGAATAAAATTGTTGGTTTCCATGAGAGGAAATGTGTGAATGTTGACAAGTTTCAAACTGGGAAACGAAATGAACTATCGATAACTATGGAAAGGAATGAAAGTAAGAGTAAGCACATGTTGAATGGTGGAGACAAGCAGGGAGGCTGGTGTCGCTGCTGCATGTGCTTCATTCTGACGACAACAACTGTTTATCTTCAATGGCACGTTATCAGTGGAGCAGTGCAACTGAAGAGTGATTTCAACAAATCTGGTTAACTTTACAGGAACATTTGGTTGTTAATTTGTTTATTCAAATGTTATTTTAAAATAAACCATCTGTCGTGCATCAATATAATGTACATGTTTTGAAATATACGTTGCATGCAGGCAGGCATTTTGTTGAAGCGTGTGATTTCTGATCGATTCCTCACGTACACGAGCACACAAACACGCCTGCATGGCAGTTCAGTTCAGTTCTGCTCAGCTCACATGCTTACAGGGAAGTTAAATTATGCATTTATTGGTTGGTCGTCAATCTAGTATCTATCCACTTTAGTTTCGGTGCGTTCGTTTAATTGATCATTCGATTAATCGTCATTCCATTGTTTCATTCACTCATTCATTTATTCCATCTTTCATTCATTCATTTTGTCACTCATTCATTCTCATTCATTAAGTTTTTTCACATATTGCCGTTCTTTCGTCTATTCAATCATTTGTTGATTCATTCATTTAATAGTTTCAGTCAGTTAGTAATTAATTCAATGATTTATTTATCAACTAATCCATTTTATCAATCTTCTGTCAATTATTTCATCCATTTATTTATCCATCCATCTATCCAATCATCAATCCCATCCATCTATCCAATCATCCAACCAACCATGCCCCCATTTTTTGTGCATGTTTTTTTGCAGATATATTTTAATAGTTCATTAATCTACTTATTCATTTATTTACGTTACCCATTCAACCAACCAACCAACCAATCAACCAACCAATCAATCAACCAACTAACCAACCAACCAACCAACCATCCATCCAACCAAACAATCAATCAACCATCCAACCATTCATCCATCCATCAATTTATCTTACACTCAATCACTCATCCATCCATTAGCCCACTGTGCAACTTCAACATCCTTTCAGTTACATGCGCTGTGCATTGAAGTTGATGTATCGCCCAACACATCAGCAACAATACCCCTGAACGTAGTAGTAGTAGTGATGGTAGCAGTAGTGGTAATAGTACTAGTAGCAGTAGTAGCGGTAGTAGTAGTAGTAGTGGTAGTAGTACTTGTATTAGTAGTAGCAGTAGTAGTAGATGGTAGTAGTAGTAGTATTTGTTGTTGTTGTTGTTGCTGTAGCGGTAGTAGTAGTAAACATTGTGGCTTCAATTGCTTCAGTAGTAATAACTGTAAATGTTGCGGCCGTTTTACTATCGTGGTTTCACGAAGTGAAAGTATTCTTATTTTTTTATAGTACTTTTTTTCATTAGCAGTATTATTATTGTAATTAGCTGTAATAATAGTAATAACAACAACAATGATGATGATGACGATGACGATGATGATGATGAATTCAAATGGTACAACAATCATCTTCATCATCAGGCTGCTTTCTTTTTCATCATTTTATTTTTAATCATCATCCCCGTCATCACCACCGTTATCATCATCATCATCAT